AACGGCGGTCTTTTTTGCAGACGACAGAATTAGCGATGAATGTAACTTGTTGCGCAATCTGCCTACAGGCACAGCGAGCCAAAGGCGCACTCTCTTGTCAACTGGCTGCGCCTATTGGGAGATGGCGCCAAAAACTGCATTCATCGCTACTTCGGTTGTCTGCGAACATGTCTACAGTTTACTTGATCGAGTTTTTTTACTCCTTTTTTTTTTCTTTTTTTACAGAGAGAGAACTACGCCGGGAAATTTCAAAAGTTAAATACCACTACCTTAATACAGTTCCGGTGAAGTTTGAGCTTTCTATATCAGGAGATTTTTCTTCTAAAAGAAACGAGTCGATAAACACGAAAATTAGAAAAAATGGGAATGTTTGTTACGGAAATTTTATTTCAACGTTGTTACAAATACAATTTGGTACGGATTTATACCACTGAGATGCAGCCCTGAGATACAAAATAAGAAAGCATAGGGTTTGTATTTTACCTATTCTTCAGTTATGAAATCTGGATCTGGCACTTATTGTTATGTCACATAGCAACTGGCTCATTTTGTAAAATTAAACACTGTAATTGAAGCTGTGTCGACCATTTGAAAAAAACGCAAACGAAGTTAAATACAGCGATTCTCCTACAATATTGCAAAGCAAAACTAAAAATACTCAAATGTTCCATCTTTAGCACACTTTCTTGTTGCGATACAATAACGTAACTAAACGTGACCAGAGTGCATTTCTTCAAGGCAGCAAGTGCAGTGTTCTTCAGCATCCGCCTTCACCTCTTCGCCTTGAGCCCTGCTGGACACTTCTACAAAATAGCTTAAGGGCTAATGTTCCTTCTACGAACCCCAAAGTGTTTAACCAGAAGGCTAGTGACGTCTTCTCAATACAAGTAAAAACCTTTTCACCTCAATACAGGTGAATACCTGTATTGAGGCTCTGCTTTTATTCGAGGTCTTCTTTCATTTTCACATCGCTAAATATGGAACATCTTTCTCGCACTGAGCTTGAACGGCAAGCTCGATGCAGACCTGAAGACCTCCGTGTTGTACGACTTCCAATCGTAGACGTCCCAGTGCCTTCCCCGCTCCAGGACTATCCCGTGCTCCGCGAAGATGTCGTTGAAGGCTGCTGGACTCAGGATCTCTTCACCTTTTCTGACATCCTTTTCGATCATACCGAATGCTCTCTCAAGCAACAAGAAGCTGTCACCACTAACGGGAAACATGAGAGAGACCTTGGAGACTGTAGTTGGAGCCTCGTCCTGTAGCCTCAAAGCAATCATGCAGATTACAATGGACTTCTTATTTTAAACGGCACAACCGTCGGCTACCGAGCGGAATTTTTCAACACCGCTGTAGATGGTACTTCGCACGGTGTTGTGCACCACACTCGCGACTTGACTGCTCTGATTGCTCCAAGTATAACACTGGACAGCGCGTCTGGGCATGGAGCCATTGGTTTGAGTTTTCACAACGCACATCTTGTGATACAGTTGTCGGCTGGAATAAGCTTGCTGGTTCTGAACTTTTGGAATTGCTTAGTTTTATTGACAGTCAAATGAGAATGTCTTGAGGTTCGTTCTTCTTTCTCGCAGGAGTGCGTAGAAGGCTTTGTATTTTAACTTGTTTACACGCTGTTCAGTGAGTACAAGTTTCTGTTTCGCGGGATCAGTAATGGTTTAGATGAGATGTGCATTTTTTAGGCACAATAGACAAACATTATTTCTTGGCGTCGAAAGTGATAGATTGAACTTGGTGCGAAAAATGCGATGAAACAGTCCGCACTCAACTCTTGGGTCAATCGTAGCTTCCGAGTTGCACAGCCGCCAGACGTTTCGAATGCTTTTGAGCTCTCTTGAGAGGTACATTTTCTTCGTTTTCTACCTACTGTAGTGCGATTCCCTTGCTCGGAGCTTTTTATGATAAATCCGATAACGGCGGCACGCTTCTGGCCGTACAGTTTCAGCTTCTGATCCCCCAAGTGTTTCCGATTTTACCTCAGCTTTCTAGTGCTTGATCTTTAGGAGCCTTGTGACTGTGCTGTGACTAACACCGAGCGGAACACAGAACATCTCTAGACAAACCGAGACGTACTTCCTGTTTTGGAGCCGGACATTGTAGGTGGCTGTTAAACTCAGAGGGGAGCCCGTATATTGTGCTCCCCCTCGGCAGCGGTAAGGCGCTCTTCGCGAAGCTTGATGACGGGATTAAGCTTTGCTCCCGTTTTTTCTTGATACGGACCTTTCACCGACCTCTTCATTTCCGCCTTTACTCCATCGCAACAATCAAATCCGTCGTCAAAGTAGTGTACAATATTCACCCTCCCTTCTAAATGCCTTGCGCCCTGAGGGGAAAATAAATAAATAAATAAATCGAGGCAAGTTGACCAGACGCGAAGACGTCTGGAAGCTGCCATGTTGTTTTGATCACGTGGAGTCCTCGGCACTCTCCGATTGATTGAACATATTTGGCTCCTTTTAATTCAACCAACTAAATATTTGGCTCACTTTTTATTCGTAATAGACAATTTATAACAGTTTCTTTAAAATGAGTCAACGCAATTCGGGTTGACGGGGTTTAGAAACAAACTATTCCAACATGTAGACGAAGTTAAAGTAAACATTGGCTTAGTTTCGGCTTCTGTATTTGGCTCATTTCGAAAGAAAAAAAAAAACTCTGTAAGATGTATGCGTCGAACTGTCAGGCTCGTTTTGAAGCATTAGATCAACTGTACGGGCCTTCTACATTTTGGCCGAAACGATGTTTGTTTTCGGTTGTCGCTGAGCCGTTTCATTGCCGATGCTCGTCTTGCCTGCTTGGAGTCCCGTTCGCATTGTAGCCGAAGTTTGCTCCCTTCGTCTGTTTAGCGAGACGTCTTCGCCTGCTTGGCGCCTCAATAAACCTTCAGTTTTAGGCAGCGCCAATCGCGAGGAAATTCGAATACTTATTTTGAGTTTCTGATGTGCGTCATGTAAATGTCCTTTCAAACGCTATTTAGTGCCCGTGCACAGACACTGAGGGAGGCTGAGAGACGTTAGTTTACGCACGTGAATTGTACATGATGGGGTGCTAGTAAGCAGCTTCACGTCAGCATTAAATATTCGTCTCGCAGATGCCAGCGAAGCCTCTCTTTTGTGGTAGCGTGTCGTGAACGTGTCTGCACCCCATGGCCGCGAGAAAGAAGCCTACCGCGTTGCAGCAAAAGTTGCAGTTCTTAGTTCGTTTTACTGAACTTCCTGTTCGGTCTTGCACCTCGAGTTTTCGCAAGCACATATCACGTTATTCCGCTGTCTCCACGGCAAGTCGCTGTCACTCCTGCGCGTCGGCAGCATGATTGCAACCTATTGAGAAGCTCGTCACCCCCGGAGTGAAGCCATGCCACCTAGAAAACAAAGCCTGCTCACGACACCATTGATACCGGATTTCTACCTGTCCCAAGCGTCAAACATGCAAAAGCTTGACGAGAGAACGTCGCGAAGCGGCAGACGTCTGCGTCTGGCGTCTTCCTGTGGTAGCGCTGGCAGTTTGTGCGACCCTCTAAGGCGAGCTAATGGAGAAGGTGACGCTAGGTGGGTGGCGCTGCGTAGATCGACTAGTCATAATACTTGGGGGATGCGGGATTGGCTCCTAGGCGGTATTAAGTGGAGGCGCTGAGAATCACGCGATGTCCTTGTAGCCAGTGGTTACCGAAAGAAGGACACACACAAAAGTGCTGAGGGTTCGGGAAAAAGAAATTAAAATTAATGGGTGTTCCTCAAGGTGATGACCGTCAGAATTGTTTCGCGTTTTTAGCGAAGGTCAAAATTTGTTTTACTGCCCCATTAAAGTGATCCTGTGGGTTGGCAACGAGGTGATTGAACGTTCATTTGTGTGGTACCAGCCCCCAATGGGCCGCTGCTTTATTTGCTGTAAATTTGTCGGGGCAGTCCACTGACAGCTTAAGAAATCCAGGGCTCTAACATCGTAGGATCGCTCCGCAGCTTGCGGCCGAGAGCCGAAAAAAAAGCTGCCTTTCTCTCACGGGGAGCTGTCAATGGCTGAAAGAGCGAACCAAATGCGAGAATGAACGAGATTATTAGGCGCAGACTCGCTGAAATTATGATATCGCAATAAGAAAAATCGGGGTAACTTTTTAAGAAAAAAAAAACATTCCGAGTTTGATATCACCTGGCAGCTGCAAGAAATTCGATGAGTGACACCGATGCTTTTCGATCTTCCGGCGAGAGTAAGTGGCAAAAGAAAATTAATTTCTGAAGTCTGTAACTCTAGCCACTTGAGTTTTTACTCGTGTACACGCTAGAAAAAATACTTTAACGTCCACTTTGCCGGGAACCCACGGAGGTCGCATAATCTATGCGCGAGCTGTGTGTCAGCATTGAGCGAATGGTGAGGTCCGAAACAAGATTTGACTTGAAAAGGTAATTCGTAGACAGCGGATGATTATGACATTTCTTTCGTTCATTATTCTTGCGTGCACTGTGCGACACTATTAGCGGGAATAAGCGATCGAAGTTCTTTTCAGTTTTTTTCTGACGATCGATGGGTTGTCAGAAAAAACTGCTATAGTAATGACAAGGGCTTATTTGGGGCACTGGTAACATTAGATGTCCGCAAATAATGTTTTGAAGTAAACATACAAAAATCTTCCGACGCCGTGTTCGTGCTAAAGGTATCCCGCAGAGCAAATCACGTTTGCTCTGCGGGATACTTTTCATCAAGTTTCGAACTCGATGAACCATCGAGTTCGAAACTTGAATATTCGCACAACCCTAAATATAAGTGGTCCTTACACTGCCAATTATACGTCACATACACAAACACATTATATTAACATATCGTGCGCAAGCACTTCGGGTGAGAACGCTAGGACAATTAACCTAGGAATTATATTGGTTGAACATTTAGTCGAATTTGAGACGCGTGCAAATTATGCGAAGGTCGCTATTTACCACGTTCAATTATAGCCAAAGAGTTACATCAGAAGTGTCAAGCGGCGTACTTACTTGACCTTCTGAACCACATTTTGCTCCATCAGGCACGAATGCCTCACGTACACGTATGCGATCACCACCATCATTGCGGCACGCTATACGGCATTGAGCAGAAACCCGTCGGCCTTCTGTTTGCTGTCGAAACAAAATAAAATAACTGAGACCGTTTTATCACTAGTCGTCCGTATTCATTTCATACAAGAGTTTGTAAGAGTCAATGCACTGCAAGTCTTTTCTATAAAAGCAAATCTGGCTGTTAGCCATTCCTTCAGTTCCAACGTAGCGGACAATGGTGTGTGATTCCATGAGTATCAGAGTCGCGAAACAAATGTGGTGGGAAACGCACGTAATGGGCAGAAAAATAGTACAATGTGGCAAGTACGGCTACAACGGGTATTGCCGAATTCTGAAAAATGGCGTAGAATGAACGTTTCCACACCACGCAGAATGCAAACGCCTTCTTTACAGCTTGAAAGACAGGCACAAAAGCCTTCAGTTTGAATAAAAGTGAAAAAGATTTTTAGTGAAAACCACGGTTTCTCACTTCAGAAGTCTAGAATGTTTTTAAACGTTTTCTACAGGGTGCTCCTAAAACGAATCACAGGGTTCTTGTGCCGCAAAAATAAACCAATACTCACCGAACTCTCATATTCCATCCAAATGTTCAGAACCAGATGCTAAAGGTACAGAGCTAACCGTTCTTTTATTCGACAATTATAAATAGTTTTCTGACATTTTTCGTGTGAAAGCGGCGGCCGGCATAGCTCTGGAACACATGGAGCTATTTGGCTCCATTACCAAAATTGGGCTAAAATTGGTCTAATTTTTCTATTGGAATTTTCTAAAAATCACATAAATTTTTAATTATATAACAGATATTGCTGAACGTTCGGCTTCTGGTTTGAGCCATTAGCGTTACATTTGGGAGAAGAAAATGAGCGATCGGCTACGGGGAGTTTATTTTTTCGGTGACATAACCACTCTACAGTTTTGGGGGGACACGCTGTAATGTCTATCAGGGCAGCCTCTTTCTAAACTTCCGATCAACTAAATGAAAGGAGAATAAAACTGAAACAGATTATGATACCCAGTGCATGGGTTCTCCACATATTCCCGTGAAGACCGCGTGTGAGCTTCCTACATTATCACCGCACAGATTAAGGCCGTTAGAATAACGCAACTGACGCTATATGGTGCCCTCACGAAATAGGTTGCCGCCGTTGTTCCCAGTCATTTCATTTCGAATGCAACAAGATTGTCAGTCCCAAAGGCATCCTTCCCTCACCACCTGTATTAATAACTTCTTTTTGTCCTTGCCGATCTTCCAACCAATTTCCACCGTACAGATAACAAGTCTGTGGCGAGTGACCGTCTTTTGAACTCGTCATAAAATAACTGTACCCTCACAAAATATTGCACCATTATGGGCGTAAATATAGAGTTTTCAGGCCTAACGCTTTAACCCTCTATTGAAGAGATATACAAATATATCCTTAAACATATTTTTAAAGATATTAATGTTTAATACGATCAAATATAACCACAGAGGTGAAATTAAAAAAAAATCGCAAGGTAAACTTGCTAATTATAGCTTTGTATCTTGTGTGAAACAACAGGTAAAAATCCGAAAGTGGCTCCCTCGCGTGACCTCCATGGATCACTATAAAATGTCAATAATATCTGCGCATATGATACTTTTAAGTAAGGCCGTCACCTACCCTAAAATATTTGCGGCAAATGAAAAAAAAAAACAAAAAAACTTATCCATATGTTTTGTTGTTCCGCCGTTCTCGGTCGCCACGTATTCGCGCGACAAACTTCTTTTTTTCTCGCCAACTGTCTATTATCCAACCTACCCACCGGCTCCTAACTCCAACGGCTGTACTTCTTTCTTTCCTCCTTGCCTCAAATACACGTGAGTTGTGAGTATGCGCTGGTCTTTTGTCTACGCGTTTCTATTTCTGTCCTTGTCTCTCTGTACTCTCTCTGTACGCATCTTTAACCATGTTAAATCTGTACCAACTCGCCCAACTGACCAACCTACTATCGCCAACAAAGAAGGATAATAAAGATGATTCGAAGTTCGGTTTTAACAGTTGAAATCGGTGTCGTGTGAATTCCAGATAATGTTGAATTCCAGGACATCGACAAGCGCCCTTGCACGAGCCCAATACTCCGTCGCTCCTTCGCTGTGTCTTCTCGAGCAGGAGAACGCATGTGTAATGATTTGGGTTAGTAAGGCTAATGGCGTCTAGGTTAAGCCTACCATGGTGTTCTGTCTCACTTGGTACGCAACGGAAACACACAATAATTATTGTTCTTGGTAATGCAACAGCGCCGCTCGCAACGCGATTGTCAAGATACGATGTCGAAAGCGAAGAAAGCCTATGCACACAGTTGTGCTTGACTGCGTTGCGTCGACAAACGACCGCAAATTACCCGGTCATTCGTGTTTTGTGTGAAGCATGACAACCAATTCAAGGAGTAGCTTAGCAAGCAGCGCACGAAGAGCAAATCCTGGTTAGTCGCAGTCGTAACACGGTACGACACTCTCAAACCGCAAAGCGTAGCTACAGCTCGCTTCGTCGGTCGGGCTTATGATCACTAAGCACTACCGAAACCGAAAGTTCACTGTCGACGTTGCTTCATTTCAGGGGATATTGCATGGCAGGGAAGCAGAACGTCAGTTTCGATTTCGTCGATTTATTTAACGGGAAATCATGAGCGTCATATAATTGTATAAAAAATCGAGCATATGGCTAGGTCCTTATAGAGTTAAGAAAAACCCCTACCTGAGAAAGTTTAAAATAGTTTTATTATCCTTTTAAGGCAGTTATAGCAAACACCCTTAGTATGCTGGTAAACGCATGAAAACGAGGTTTCTGGCCACCTGAATAACATCCTATGCTCCTTTTCGTATTAAGTTCAACCGAAGCCAGATTTACGACCCAATGAATCCAATAAAGCAGCTGCAAAAGTTAATCGTCATAGCGCCGGCCGTTTTTGTGCGTCCGCTATCAGCGGCTATAATTCAATTACGCGCAGAAAAAATCACCGGGTCTGTCCGCATTGGCCGTGCGTGAAAGCCGGTAATAGACCTTTTGCGAGACTCGCCTTCTGCCCGCTGCCAACTTTGTCTGTTGGACTGGGGAACGCCTTCTTTGCATTCGCTGCAGTTCTGCTGTGCGGTATATCAGGCGCTACGCATACGTGTGAATCAGCATGTTTCGCTTCGGTGATAAGCGATTAAAAGGTCAATAGCAGACGAGCGCCATGACGATGCCACTTCTGGTGCTGGGCGATTGACTCTCTCCGATTGTACCCTTGGTTGCGGTCAGGCGGGAACTGAATATAGAAATAATTTTGGCGAGCAACATTCCCCAGATGCCGTTCTCACATGATCATGGACAGGCAATGGGTTCGCAAGGAAACACGCTAGAGGAGACTCATGACTTATGGGACTTCTCCAACGCCCTCTGTAGTAGAAATTCGAAGATACTTAGTGTGTGCTGACCGCCTCCGCATTACCAATGTTAAACCTATGTTTCTCGATTCTCAACAATAGGTCGCCTAATTCATGATACATAATCCAGTTAAAAAAATTTGGAAAATTTATGTCCCAGTAGAAAGCAATGGTAGATGCAGTAATTACCGGTTCGAGATGAGGTAGTTGGTACATTGCCCCTGGTGGTGAGGAAACAACTTTAACATTAAATTATTACACAGAGAGAAAACAAAACACACATATAACGCTTTGTCTGTCTTGTCCTGTCTCTGTGTAATCGTTTATTATACAAGTTGCTTTTCCACAATAATTGCAAAAAAATATTAGAGATCGTCACTAAAACAAGCCTTGCTAAAGCGAATATCATTACGGCGAATACCTTTCAAAAGTGGGGTTCGCCTCACTAGATCGTATTGCCCTTTTCTAACCCTTTCTAAACACTTCAAGAATGAAAGGTTTTCGATACAACGGCACACTATTCTAAGACTGAAAACGGTGTATTATGCCAAAATAAGAATGCTGAAAGGGTGCAGCCATTGATGTATTTCGAACAGCTTGTTTACAATCTTGAGGGTGGATATTTTTAGAGTGTAATATAATAACGGCATTATTTTTTATGGGGGCAATTTAGAAGCTTCTGCCACGTCAGAACACCTGCCCCAATTTTTGCAATAATTATGCAGAGACATTGCTGCAGTAAGTACCTACATACATTGTATCTTTAAAATATTTATCCATATTGTATTGTTTTTTCACCTAGTTGATCCTAAATATAAAAAGAAAAGGCCGTACCTTACGAAACATTCATCATGGTACGATTTTAAAACAAATTTGAGAACAAATAAAGATTGAATGCTATTGCTTTCCTTACGGCCAGGACTCGAATATGATGGTCCAAGCCAGCAGGGTGTGCCTGGGTACAGTTACACCAGGCGGCCCGAAATCGTGGAGCGGACGCATAAGCTTTCACTTCCATTAGTTGTTCGGGGAAATGTTTTCAGTTGCACAGTAGAACCGTAGTCACACAGCCAACGCCATGCCCTCCTAACACAACCAATAGTATACTCCCACACGACCACCAGCGAGTTTGTACACGTTCATACAGCCAATGCTCCGCCCTCCATAACACAGCCAATAGTAACCTCTCAAACGACCTACACCGAGTTTGCACGCGGTCACACAGCCAACGCCACACGTTCCTAATACAGTCAATGGTACCCTCTCCACAAATACCACCGAGTCTGCACACGTTCACACCGCCAATACCACGAGGTACATAACAAAGCCACTGGTAACCTCTCACACGACTCCCAAAGAGTTTGCACACGTTCACACAGTCTAGGCTACGCCCTCCATAACACACCCAATGGTACCCTTTCACATGACCTCCACCGAGTATGCACACGGTCACACATCCAACGCCAGGCCTTTTACACACTGTCAAAGGTAAGCTCTCACACGACCTCCACCGAGTTTGCACATGTTCGTACAGCCATTACCACACCTCCCTACCAGAGCCAATCGTAACCTCTCACACGACCTACACCGAGTTTGCACACGTTCACACCGCCAATGCTACGTCGTACATAACACAGCCAAGGGCAACCCCTCACACGACCTCCACCGAGCG